CCGGCAGCTTCTGGGGCAGGGCACGGCTGGGCAGCCGGCGCAGACTCACCTGGCGTTCATCTCGACGGCGTTGTACCCCGCGTGCTTCGCGATGACGTGGGCCAGCGTGGTCTTTCCCAAGCCGGGTGGGCCACAGAGCAGGGCTACCTGTGGCAGAGAGGTAACGTCAGCCCGGCAGGCAGCGCGGCAGGGCTTCCTCCAGCACCGACCAAGACTGCCATGCCAGGTCCTGCAGCCTCCACCCCCGCCTGCTTCAGCCCTTGGTCACTGCTACACTGGTTTGCGTACACACAGGGAAAAGGGAAAGTCACTGGAGGGAGAATATAACAGAACGTCTCAGAGGTGACGGAGTCATCCCGGCAGCCGCTCTCATGCATATGTTTAAATTTGCAGGGCAACAGATAGAAAAGGCTGAACAAAATCCCCCCAGAATTACATTCCCAAGAAGCAATGCTGTGCGTATCTATTTTTCCCCATTTTTACATCCTCTCACTGGGCAGGCTGAAGCTGGTAAGCTGGCCTGGGTATGTTACCTCTGCTCCCTTTAGCATTGGAGCATCATTGCTCTTTTCCAGATGCAGAAACTCTAGCGCAAAGGCACGTCACATCTGCCGCTAACAAAGTCAAGAGCAACCTCTGGCTTAAAAAGGGCACGTCTTTCCTCAACCGGCCCATTAATCTGGCTGGAGGAAGTCTATTCCCCTCCCCTTGTTACCACGTTACCCAAGATGAAACAGAAGAAATGAGAAAACCCCATATTGGCTAAGAACAAACAAGGAATCCAGTTTCTCCTAGATCTGTGGTGGAAGAGAAGAGAAAGGGAAGACCCTGCTCCTCACCTCGGCAGCAGGATGAGGGGGATAGGAGAGGAGAGCCACTGCAGCAGCGTCCTGTCCTGCTCACCTTGTATTTGGGTCTCTTGTGCTGGTCCAGCTCAGCCTCCAGAATCTCCTCTGTGAGCTGGACCTTCGTTTTCCACTTATTCTGCTGTTCCTTGGGCTGGTTGAATGGAGGATGAGCTTCAGTGCTGGGCTTGGCCTTCTTCACAGCTTTCTCCTTCCCGAACACCACCGTGTCCCAGAGCTTGAGCCACTTCAGAAGGCAGCGGTTCGTGTACTGCACGTCGGGCAAGAAAGCAAGCAAATCCCATCAAACCTCGGAAGGATCCGGCCAGGGACAGAGAAAGGCCTCTTGGCTTAAAGCTTTTTAAGCCTTCATGGCTTAAAAACCAGCGTGGCCTGCGGAGGAAGGAGCCGAGCCCAGGGAGGCAACGCAGAGCGTGTCTGCCCACACCTCGGGCGCACAGCACGTCCGGGGAGAGGCTGCTCGGGTTTCCCCTGGCATCTCTCTGGGACAGCACGGGAGCGCAGCTTCCCCTCCTGGCTCGGCCACCATCCCACAGGGCAGCCCAGGACAAGTCACATCAGCCCCATCCCTGTTATCCCTCGTCTGTCTCAGCTCAACCCAGCGCTTCTCAGCCTCTTCCATAACTTCCAACTCCCTACAAAACTTCTAATATTAAAAGAAAAAAAATCAAAACAGCCAACAATTCCTGGCTAAAGCCTACCCAGACTTTTCCATCTTATTTTGGTCATCTTTCATACTCTCTTTTGTCACAAAGTCCGCCGCCTACAGCTGAAACCCCCACCCTGATCACCCGGACTGCCCCCGGGCAGGGCTAGCACGGACAAAGCTCCCCCACCAGCGCCTCCGAAAGCCCCGTGATCAAAGGCAGCACCACAAAACCTGGATCCCACAGCATCAAGAAAGAGTTACGGAAGTGGTAAATCCACCCGAACCCCAAGCCCCCACTTCTCCTAGCACCTCACATCATCACTGAGCAGCTCCATGTAGCGCCGAGGAGTGAACTTGTCCACCCAGAGGCAATGCAGCGCAGACTCCTCCTCGTCTGCTCGCTCCACTTCCCCGCTGGGCTCCAGGCTCTCAGCGCTGGTCTCGCTCTCGAGGCAACTGCAAGAAAGAATTAACTTGCCCCAAACCACCCAGGGAGTCAGGGCAGGGCTGGGAATCACACTCAGCCTTCCCAAGATGGGGATGCTGAGGGCAAAGAGGCTCCTCTGCTCACAGGTCCCCAAAGCTTGGACCCCAGCGAAGCATCTCAGGAGCCGCATCCGACAGCGTGGCAGGGATAGGAGTGGGATTTCATCCCAGCATCTCACCTGTTTATTATCTCTGTCAGCTGCTGTGATGCCTCCAGAACACACCTTCGACGCTTGAGCACAAAGAGGGTGAGACGGGGGTCAGAGATGCCCCGCTAACCCGCGGCTGCGGGGAGCAGGGATTTGGGAGCCAGTGCTGTGGCTATCCAGGGGTGGCAGGGGAAGACGGGAAGGTCGGTGTAAGATGTGATACCTCTTCATCCACTTGTTCCTTCAGGTAGGAGAAAGGCACCCCTAGCAAGCGGAGCGGTCTGCGTGCATTCCAGCCCAGGGAATCCGGGAGCTACGAGGACCAGAGGACACATACCGATGTTCACACAGATGCTCAGCACAAACATTTCATGCTTCATCAAAAGATCCCGTCCTGAACGGGATGGAGGTCACAGAGAAGCAAGCCCAGCCTTCAGATCCCTCCTTACTTCCACTCCTGTCCTGGAGGGATCATCCCTCACAACCATGAAGACCCTGGTGCCTTCCGTGGATGTCACGTTGATGTAGTCCTCCAGGATGGGTGGCCGCTTGAGGACCCGCTTCTTCTCGGAGGGCGGCGTGGTCTGCAGTGGGACCATGCCACTCATCTCCAGGAGGTCCAAGCTGGAGAGCGCCAGGTTCCTTTAGCAGGGGCGAGGGAAAGGGCCCTTGAACCCCACCAAAGGTGGGGGTTTCCCTCGCCCCTGCTAAAAGTGGGGTTCAAGGTGGTCAACCTGTGAGTCTGGAGAGCAGGCGCCTCCGGGCCAGCATCCTGGAGGACATCAGGAGCCAACTCGTCATCTGCACCAAAGCTGAGCTTCTTAACAGCTTCCAGGCGCTGCCGCTTCGGTTTCGGGGCTGTGAGAGACATCAGGGCAGGAAGAAGAGGAGAAGCATGGCTGACCATGGTCAGCAGCACCGGGGGACTCATCAGGGCTGCAGACCTGGCTTGGGCCAAACCTACTGCGGGCTGCGGGCGGTGGCGGGGAGCCGGGTGCGACGCAGTCCCGGTCCCTCTTCCTTGGGTTGCTGCCCCCCGGGCCGCTGCCCCCGACGGGGTCCCCGGGGGAGTTGAGCTCCTCTGGTGGCTGCTTCCTGCCCCGGAACTGGGAGATTTTGGGGCCAGCGGGTGGGAATGGGTCATCTGCAAGAGGCGTTACACGACGGCGCCGGTCACCGGAGGGGACACACGGTGGGACGGGCGCACG